AAAATATTTTTGTTCTGATAAGAAGTTTTCATAAATAGCAAATCATACCTAGTCCAGTCTCACTAGGACAATAGACAGTGTTATTCCCAGCCGACAATAAACCGGTGCAGCCCTTGATATAAGTTACCTATAAGATAATATTTTAATTACAACTTAAATAGTGGAGGTATAAGATACCTCAGTCCACTGATTGATTTCCAATGTCTCGAAACTGTATTTAAAGAAAGAAAGCGCCGAAAATGGCCTCATCCACATTGGAATGTTATGAAGATTAATGTAAAAACCCCCGAACACTAGCATAGCTTGCATAAATCCAGACATGACAGTGATTGCAAGGCCTTCATCTCCGAACACACAGCCAGATGCATAGCCTTGGAAAGTTTTTTTTTTGAAGTTTTCAAAACCACAATAAATCAAGAATGGTTGCCTATGGAGATTGCATTTAAGGATTGGAAAACATTTGCAAGGGCAAATATGAAGAATTGTCTAAAAGTGGGTGCCAAACCTAAAAGAAGACTGCTCTTTCCGGAAAGATAAATAAAATTGCTGTTTTTCACAAATTCTATGAATGCTGAGCTTAGCATATCTACCAAGGAATGAATACCCACACCATAAACTTTTCTCACCTGTCATCCAATATAAAATTACCGAATAAATTAACGGGAGAGCGATATATTGAGGCATCTACAAGGTGTTTGATAAATTTTGCAACAAAGAAAAGCAAGTTCTTACCTCTGCCAAAGATTTGGCTATGAAATATGCTTCAGGTGAGTAGATTCTAGCTTTACATTCTCTCATAAAAACGGGTAATTCACTGGTAATAACCTGAATAAAAACTAATGCAAGAATAATGATCTACCATGATGTGCATAAAAATCTTACGTTAATTGAAGGAAAGAAGAAGAGAAACGACATATCACGCACGCAATTATACATGACGCCCTCTAAATTTTGAATTGTTGGCCCATACACTTCCGTACGAAAATTTACAATTCCAATTGCTACGGAAGTGATCTGAAAACTTGGCAGTGGCCGTGCGTCAATTCTTGATGTGCATAAATTGATAAAAATGTAGGGTTTGTGGGTACATACTGATTCACTTGCTAGCCCAAAAACTAATTTTTGCTTACTGCCTTACTAGAAAATTAGCTCCTTTGTTTTCCTATTATTAAGGCTTACGTTAAGATAAGATCCCTACTTTTGGCGGGTGTCAGAGGAAAGCTTTTTGATATGAGTTAAAGATGATGGTGGTTTGTTCTGCCTTTTTAATTATAGTTGACTTTTCGTTGATGTTCTTGATGGTAAAGCCCTTTTTTCTAACTAAGCAGTATTCAAGTTAAAGTTCCTCTGTTTTGTTTAAATATATAGTTGGGAAGCTTACGTGTCAAACCATCGTCAGTTTGTGGTTTAAGTCCTTGACAAAATTCCTCGATTTAGAATTAAACACAACGTAAAAGTAAAATTGTGTAATTTCCTAAATCCGTACCAAACCGATCCAGGAAGCAGCAAAAAATGGCTCATTTGATTGTATTTGGCTCTTTAACTGCTAACGAATGTTATCTAAACTACTGGTTCGAAAATTTTTTAGGTGGAGCACAGCAAAACTTTTTTCTGCGAATATAGTAGCCTTAGACAGGAACTAATAGC